TGAATTCTCTGAAGAGGTGAAAGCTCAATATTATTTTGAAATGAAAGTGTCGCACGTTTCCTTCTAAGCCTGCATCCATCTGCTCCCTTTGAGACTTAAGACTGGAGTCCTGAAAAGGGCTGAGTCAGCAGCTAGGAGAGGAGCATGCCTTAAAGCCTTAAATTACATGTTAATGCAGTGATAGAGAATCATCGTATGGCCTGAAGTACAGGACGGAGAGCCAGGAGACCTGGGGTATTTTCCTGGCTTCTCCACTGACTGTATTCAATAGGTTTTTAATGATCTGTCTTGGATTCTTTTGAATGGGGAGACCAAAATATATACTTTTAGGATTACATCATTAATAAATCTGGAGGCTATTAAAGAGAGGGTGTGAGGGGAGGAATGAGCCCTACAATAAAGGGAATAGCCGGCACAAACCAAATATCTTGCAAGTCTAAGCCTGGATTTGTTCTAAGGGAGTTCAGCATGTACAGCGTTCTTCGAGACTTGAGGAAAAAATGTGCTTAAGTCTTGGTCACAGCAGCAGAGGAGTGGGTTTACTTAAACGTTTTCCTTATTAAATTTTGTTTCTGTGGCTTATAATGATGCCGCCATAAATGTGCATGTGCAGTTGCCTCCTGTCTGATACTGTCCTTGTTTGTTGCTTTAAATGCTCTTAAGTGAGTCTGTTGCTGAGTCGGTGGTGTTCTTATTGAAGAGCAGTGATTGTTTTCTTTGATACTGGTGGAGTAAAATTTTCTGTGCTGCTTTATCGATCCTTTAGACCAGTCCTGCGTTACTGCTTGTCTTGCCTCCCGAAGAAAACTGACCCAGGTGGGATGGATGGATGCCTCTGCCAGAAGGTGCCCAAGCCTCTACGGTGCCATAACTCCCTGTTGTCCCTCCAGTCTTGATGGGAGACAGAAAGCCGAGAGCCCTTTTCAGTCCTGTGGAGCTGGGTGGCTTCCCTGGACGCTGCTGGGCACACCAGCCTCCTGAAGTTTCCCCATTTTACCTGGGCTGTTGTTTCTTGTGGAAATACTAAAATATGCCCGTGTTCAAATTCCACTGGATTCTGCTTTTCCTGAGATCGTGACTTAGTCTGAATAGTTTCTCTTAAGCACCGCAATAAACAAGACCTCTGGGTATGGAAGGTTTTATTTCTGGGGCGATGCAAACACTGTGTAAGCTTTGTCTCTTAATGTTTGAACGTGTAACTATTTTGAAGCGGATGGTAATATGACCTGAAGGAAAAGCGGACTGTGGTTGCTAGTACACACTGCAGTGTTGTCTCCTCAAGTCTGTAGGATTGCTGCTGTTCCGATCTTAGGGAGAGTCCCTCCGGGATTCGCTTCTGTGGGTGGAATAGGACTAGAAGGGAGATTTCTGAATGTTTTTCCAGTACCTTCCTCTGGGCCCTCGAGGAGCCCCTCCTCATCCTCACAGGATCCTGACAAAGATGAGATATGATGCTTTATGACCTGAGCACAAAACGTGTGTGCCCTGAGTCATTTTCCTTGGTGAAAGTGGGGGATTGTGTACATACGGGCTTGTTAAAATTCCTTTTTGCTAGTCCGACTTACCTCTGCAGAGCAGAGGGCTCTCAGGCAACCTTATCCTCCCTCACCAAGTTTTCCTCAGTTCTATGGTAAATGGTGGTTTTTTTTCTTAGTCTCACCAGACTCCAAAAGTCTTAAGCTTTTGGGGAACAAAAGCAAACCAGCCTGTGGTTGCCTTTTGGAGTCTTGGGGTTCCTGGGGTGTCTGACTCAGCAAGGCTTTGCCAAGAGCAAAAATTACACTGACTATATTTCCTATAATCTAAATTACTATCTCCCTGACTAACCTTGGTATCAATTAAAGTAACCTGGAAGTCTGTTGTGGCCCACCCCCCGCCCTACAGCTGCTCATGGACCGTGAGGTCTCCCCGTGCTGTGACTTTTTGAAAGGCTCTGGCATCTTGCGGTGGTCTGTCTGCTTTATTAATTAACGCTTCAGGGAGTACCGCTCTCAGCTGGTAACTATTACATCCTGCCTCTGAATGGTTTCCCCAAATTGTTGTGTCTTTTGGCTTCAGTCCTTCAGTAAAATGACTCGAGAGCATTGGTTTGAATAGAAAGCAGTCCTGGAAACTGGAGTTTTGCACAGCTTTTAGCTATTCCTTGGCCTCTGAGCACGAAAGACCCCTATTAACCTGAGCGCAGAGCTGACCGCTGGTCACTGTTTGCCTTGGCGCAAGAGGAACGAGTGAAACATGCTGACCTGCAGGTTACGCGCTGTTTGTTGATCCTTTTCTCCTGTAAAATGTTCTTATTTAGTTTACTATTGAGCTTTCTGGAGTATCATAACACAAAACTCTAACCTAGAGGGGAATTTGGGATATTGTGTTAATTACGCTGACGTGCCTTCTTGTCTCTTGAGAGTTAGAGGTCCTTCAGGACTTGACTGTAAGGCTACTCGCCGCACGTTATCTGCCTTTGCCTCCTCAAATATCCTTCGTGGGCCTGCCTGCTACGCAGCAAGACCATCCGGATGCTTCAGAAGGTCCCAGCAATATATAAACAGCGCTGTGTACTTGTGCGTGTGGGACAGCCATGGGAAAGCCGAAATGACTTCTTTGGAAACCCGACTGTGTAGCTTTCAGCTAAGTCAGGGCCCTGCTATCCCTCACCTTAGTTTTTGGAGAGAGATTGCTTCAGTCCGACTTAGTTTTTAATTAATATTTGCTGAGGCTTTTAAAATCCAATTTATGCAGCAGCATGAAACAACAGCCAGGTAAAATGAAGTAGGTTAAAACAGATGTTTAAAGAAGATTAAAACAGATTTTTCTGAAGACCTCGCGGTTCTGCTGGGCTCAGCGTTAGACCCCTCTCCTTCAGTATTTTTACTTATAACTAACATGTTATTCTCTGTTATGATCTAAGGGGGTTACTTGAAATTTTTTCATACTGTTCGTGACAATTGCTCTGCCCGTGTGTTTATCCTCTGGGCTAAAAACCATCTTGTATCCATGAGAAGCATTGTAAGTGGTTTCTTTTGAAATCAGTGCTGGTAGGTATTGATGTCAGGCATGTCTGACTAGTACTAATGTGCCTTGACTCGGGAGCCTTTTATTTTTGCAGAACACATGTATCCTGCCCTGTCACCGGCATTTACTTTGGGAAATCCCCTTTGTTCGCTGGTGGAGGGGAGCAGCCTTGTGCAAGCAGTTGTGCTTCCTTCCCCTCTTCCCCTCCGGTGTGGGGCAGGACCTCATTCCTCTCTCTCAGCCTCACCTCCTGACCTGCAAAAAAACTGAAAAATATCTTGTTTCCATAGCAGTATTTCTCTGAACACCCGATGAAAATTTACAGATCTCAATCTCCTGAAAGCAACGTGAAAGTACGTGGCTCCTTGAAACTAAATGTTTCTTTTCCAAGAATTTTTTGCCACGTATTTCCCCCCCCCCGGCCCTGATTTAGTTAGACCTGTTGTAGAGTTTCCCCTTGCTTTTCCCGTTTCTTCCCCTGATGCCCGATGCTAGACTTTTAACCCACATGCTTCCATTTTGTTTGTCTATTCCTTAGGCAAATGCCTTTCATCCCCAGGTCTCAAAGCACTTCAGTAGGAAGCTCACGACCATCAGCCCTGGTTAATACAAGGGGAAATTGAGGCACAGCCCTGGAAGTGACCTGCCCGAGATCACGCAGCGGGTCAGTGCCAGAGCGGAGGTTTGAATTGATGTCTCTTGAATTTCAGGCTAGTTGCCTGGGATTTCTGATACATCTCCTCAGTAAGCAGCTTGAAAGGCTAGTTAATGTATTTCGCTGCGTCTTTGTATGCATATGTGATCTGGTCATTTTTTTTTTAGGGAGACCTAGCAAAAATACTGGAGGATTTTAGCTTCTAGACATCTGGTTTTGGAGCCAAGTCTTTCTCCTTCTCCCTCCCCTTTGTGGTTGCCAGGAAATAATAGAGCTTTAAAGGGCTGGGGAGCTTTTTCCCACTGTGCTCTGGCATTGCTTCATTTGGAAACTATTCAATCCTCAACCCCCACGTGTGCTGCTTGACCACTCCATGTGCTGGGTGCCTGAATGAAGGCTGGGCGAGTACGGGAGCGGGAAGCGGGCAGAAAAGGACCGGTATTTAAACTCTCCACAGCATCTGGATGAAATTCCTCTAATGAGTCAAAAAGTTGCTGGTTCATACCTTCAATGACTAGCTTATATATAAGGATGTAGCAGTTGTATGACAAATCGGTCCCTACCCAGACTTAGCAACCAAAGCTTGGAGATCATGAGCCACTACTCCATCGGACAGACAAGGTTAGCCAAGACTACTTCTGCAAACCGTCTGTGTGCAGTAACATGTTGATTCTCTACAGATGAAACTGGACGTGGAGTGACAGAAAAAAGTCTTTTATCATCGTATTGGGAAAACAGACTTCAATTTAAATACCTCACTTCTGACCATATTGTAATATATTTCATTACCCTTCTAGTTTTCCACTGTTTAAGTGATCGTTTTGGCTTCTTTATTGAAGGAGGTATGGGAGAAAAATGGTTCCGTTTTGTCCTGGTAGGATTTGAACCAAGGCTGGCTGTAGCTTGCTACCCCCTGCACTTGCTACCCCCTGAACTACTGAATTTACAGAGAAACAGGAAAATCAGTTGCTAGCACTTGTGACCTGTACAATTTTGCCCTGGAAAAAAATCTTTTCCAGCTAAAACTATTTAGCAAGTTGGCCTAAACTTAGAAATGGTTTTCATGTTTCTTTTTTTTTTTTTTTTTTCCTTCAGTTTGTTCTTCCACCCCACAAGAAATAATGGACTTGACTTCGGTTTTCACAGGCGGCGTTGTACATACTCTCTTCCATAGCTTTGTCCCCTGCTGAAGCAAGAGATAGAAAGTCCACGTCGTTACCAAGCCTTACTCAAGCTTTCCTTTCTTTCAGGACAGCCGCACAGTACCTACCTGCAACCTGCACTGATTGGCAGCTGCTAGCAGAGGACTTGGCTCTGAGAACTGTGAGCACTGAAAATGGAAAGATTCCTGGGGTTTACCCATAACCACTGTTTCATCACGCTGTTCTTCATCTCCCTGAGCCCACTGGGCTTTGCTCAGTACGAACACTGGCCCTACCTCCCCGGTTACCCGGAGCCACCCCCACAAGTGTACCAGCCCCCCCAGAGACCGGCAAACGTTCCCAAGATCCAGCTGCGGCTTGCAGGGCAGAAGAGAAAACACAACGAAGGCAGAGTGGAGGTGTTTTACAGCGGCGAGTGGGGCACGGTGTGTGACGACGACTTCTCCATCCATGCTGCCAACGTGGTCTGCAGGGAGCTGGGCTACGTGGAGGCAGTGTCTTGGCTACCGAGCTCGAAGTATGGAAAAGGAGAAGGTAAGGTAACTCCAGAGCAGTGGTATTGTACTATCTGTCTCTCCAACCCCCAATAATTCTTGACCTGTCAGTCAAATTTAAGCTGTAGTGATATTTCCTACAAATGTAACTGAAATAGCTTCCCGGTGAAGCCATGCCTATTTAAATCAGGGTCCCATTAGATTAAACAGTTCAAATAATAGGTGTTTGCTTGTTTTGATGGAAACAAGTTAAGGAATGATGAGACAAAGAGATGAATTACCAGATCACGGTGTAGGAACTCCAGCAGGGGATGCTTGGGAGCAGCTGGTGGTGGATAAGGGTAGGAGGCTCTTCAGCAGCCAAGGGAAGCTGCACTCATAAGTGTAATGTATAGGCGGTGTGTTTCCCTATTCACGCTTCCATTGCCTTGCACTGAGTCAAACAGGACCCCTAAACACTCCTTCCCCCTATTCTTTTTTTCCTCTGAGCTGTTTAGGCTCTAAACAGGCTGCCTATGTGATGCTACACAAATCTTTCTTTTGCCCTGTTAGCCTCTCTAGAAACACCTGCGTCATATTCTGCAATGCAGGCTAGCCTATAAAACGCCAAAAGAGTGTGCACACTTCATGTCCTATATAGGACTATATTTATAATGATCCTCTTGGACACTCTCAGGCTGTTCCTGGTGGGGAAAAGCTATTCACCCTCACCCCAATTCGTACACCCTTTCTTGCTCTGTGAAATTGTACGTGATGGATGTGTGGATAATTGCAGCTTGCACCTTATTCCCAAATATGTGCTGAACAAAGACTTGGAAAGGTGAATGTTTGTGTGTTATAGCAATGAATTCTTAAAATCGCAATGCTTGAGAGAGAACAGCTCTGTAATAGTATATAACTGAACAGATTTAATTGTCATCTTTTGATATGCTGTTAGTTAAATGTTGACCTACGGAGAATTTTTTCTGCAAACATTGAAGCCTGGCACACTGTTGATGTAACCCGCAGACAGATTATTTCCACTGCAGCAGGGATAAGTGTGCTCTATGTCTGTTACTTAGCACCCCTCGTTAGTGCTCACACCTATAAACTTGCCTGTAAAAGAGCAAGCAGGCCTTAATAGTGACTTGACTGAAATGCAAAGCCTTGAATGTTGTCCCAAGCTGTGGATTTTGGCTCTTGGGGTAGAGTAGGAGATTTCCAAGTGAGAGACAAGCCATGACGTTTGAAAACAAACCAGAAACTGATTGCCACGTGATTTAACGGGAGTGAGTGTTCTTTGCACGCCAGATAGCGCTGGGTAAATCCTGATGCAGAAAGCCCCTGCGGGGTGGTTCGTGCCTTCCTCAAACCCTAGAGCCAGGCTTTGCAGGAGGTCTTTCTGCTCTCCTGTTCGGGGAGCACGGAGAGGGCTGGCAGACCCATCGTCTGGTGATTAACCAACTGAACCTGATGGGGCTGCGGAACAAAGCTGGGACCGCCAAGGGAAACGGCTGCAGAATCTCCTAGTGGCTCTGAAGGTCAGGCAATCCTTTCTGCCCAAAGGACGCGTTATTCTTCAGACAAGCAAAGCATCTGGGATGCTAAAATATGGGAATTGCTTGTTGGCTCTTGCTCCCTGCAATTTAGGGGGCAAATCCCAGTGAGCAGCGTGTGCCCAGCATGTTTCCAAAGAGAAAATGGGCACTTCGTAAAGGTGAATCTTAGAGATGCTGTTGGGTCTTTTGCTGTCAGCTGCTCCTGAGAAAGCATGACCTGAAGTTTGGAGGTGACACCTATTGATTTTTGACTGTTCGTTTTAGAAGTGAGTTCTGAGGACCCTGATTTGTTAAAATATAATATATACATGTGCACACGCATGCTCATGTGCACATGCATGCAGGTTTTCCTGGAGGGAAAGTGGTAATTACAGTCTGGAAACTGGATCTGGCAATTGGTTTTCAAAGAGCACCCAAGTAACGGGAGGTTCCAATCAATGGTGGTTTGTTAAAGCTTTTGTAAAAATCTGCTTTTAAAAAAGTTAGGGCATTTAATCAAAATTTGGAGGTGTCCCCTACAAAAGATTTAATGAGGATTTGATAAATGAGAAATGATGTAAAGAGAAGCCTTAAATCCAGAAGGAATGATTGGGTGAGCATGATGAGAGGGCAGGGTCTAATCAGCCAAACCGAGGGGACCCGGTGACACTGTGTACTCTGAAGAGGCTGTCATCAGAGGCTGTCATCAGAGGAGGTCATGGTATTTTATTTTTTTTTAAACCATGCAGATAAGTGAAAGGGAAAGCTGTGGGGCAGAGCTGTTTGCGGTTAGTAAATACTTGAGGTGGATCGTTGATGTTCCCTAGCTGTTGATTCAAGCTTATTTTAGCAGTAATCTCTTCCCCTGACATAGTAAGAGCACAGCAGCCTTACTTGCTTTCCTATCAGCTATCAGTACAATCCAGATTTATCCTCTTTGTGAGTCTCAGTTCTGTTTTCTTTCCTCTTCAGGGAAAATTTGGATGGACAACGTCCACTGTAATGGCAAGGAGACCACCCTGGCAGCCTGCACTTCAAATGGCTGGGGAGTAACGGACTGCAAACACACCGAAGACGTGGGAGTGGTCTGCAGTGAAAAGAGAATCCCCGGCTTCAAGTTTGACAACTCATTGCTTAACCAAATAGAGGTAAACATACTTAAAACTACAAGCTGCTGATCAAGAGCCTTCTGCGGACAGGGATGTCTGCTACTACATATTGTAGGTTATCCCAGCTGCACGCTGAAGTTAAATCAAACTCTTGATGGTGCTTCTAGATGCTGGCTAAAGATGCAACATTTAGATTTGAATTTCAGCTGTTCAAAGCATTATGTGTATAATAAGAATTTGAAAGGTCTTTTTTTATAGCGTAAGAATAAGTAAGGAGAAAATATATTACTCCTGTGCCACAATCACTTTTCAGAATTGAAAACTGGTTTATTATATATCTAAGAATGAATTTTGGAGAGACGGGATATGTGCTGTAGTCGTAGACCTCACACCTGGGTGACTTTGTTGGTTCATAGTACTAAATTACTGAGTTTTCTTTCCCCTGACCCCTCCTTTTCGGTCCTGGGAGCAATTTGGAGGTCTCTGGTATAACAGTGGGGGTCAGCAGGTAGGCTTGGATTTGGAGGTGAATAGGGCTTATAACCATGGCTTGAAATGGGTGGATTTATAAGGAAAGACATAAAGAGATTTTTGCACAGTTTGGCTAAGCGATGACGAAGTAACCACGATAATTGTATGGAAATATTTGCGGGAATGGGGGATTAGTACTGGAAGTGATGAAAGGAATTGGAGAGAGGAAAACGTGGGCTAGTCACTGGGGGAAAGGTTCTGGATGGTGACTGGGTTAGACTGCCAGGCTGAGGTTGGGACTTGGGAAAATGACAGCAGCAAAAAGCTTGAATTGCCTTCCGGTGGACTCGTTAGATTTCTGCAGAATAAAGAGCTGGGGAAATGCTGGGCTGGAAAGAACTTGGGCTGAGCTCTTCAAAGAGAAAGAATGTGGGTTGTTGGTTTGGTGTTTTTTTTTTTTTTTTTCCTTCAGCTTTTCAGGTTGGAAAGTATTTGTGGTGAATTGGCTAACATCTTCCTTGTTTCGGATGCTCTGGTGTTTCAGTATGCGAATTCAGTGGTCAAAATTTATCGAAAGAGCCTATCCAGTAACCACAGTCAAATCTTATTTGAATCTTATTTTAAGCAGACGGGGAATCCAGGACGTATAGCATACCACAGTGAGGTTTCCATGGCTGAATCTTGGCTTTGTTTATGATCTGAAACAATGGATACAACCATCTATCACCTTAAAGCAAAATTATTCTAGCAGTTACTTCATAGCCACTGATTTGGAAAGGGTCTCCTAGCATTTTCTTTTACCAGATTTTTTCCGTTGGAGGTTAATGCGATGCAGCATACTTGACAAGGGAAGATAATATGCTCAGTCAAACCTTGCACCGCCCTGCTGAGGCTTTAGGAAGAACACTGTATGGGTGAGCAGGCGGCATTCAGCACTTGCATGGAAGGCTCCCATGCAAGGGCGCAGATAATAGGATATGAGAGCTGAAATTCTCTTCATTGCCTTGACCTTGCTTCACTTGGCTAAGGGGGGAAAGGAGGCTTTCCGGAGGGATCCCAAGCTGCTTCCATCAATGGCACCGTTGTTGCTTGGGGAATGAGGCGAGATCATGGAACATCAGTGATGGCTTTGGCAGACGTGTGCTTCCCCAAAGCCACAGTGAATCCTCAAAACAGAGGCCTGGAAGAAAAGATGCTTTAGTCTAGACGGAGGTCACTTCACTCTGAGATGCTTCAGATATTAATCATAAAAGCTTTGGAGGGCTTTGCTTTTCCATTAGCTAAGCACTGGAGGTTGACTAATGAGTTGAGCACATTGGGTAATTGAGGGCTAGCTTGTGCTGATGCTGTGTGGGTGCTTAATCTTCACATACGATAAGTAAAATGAATCATGAGATTGAAGCCGTTCAGATAGCAGAAGCCTGACTCGCCAACAGGATCGCTCAGGAGAAATAGGTGTAAGAGAAGTCATATTCCCCATGTCCTGGCAGCTCTTGGGAGCTATGTATGGATGAAGGCATCCACTGACACGACAAGCAGTTCACAGCAATTGCTAAGGGACACTGGTGACTAAAGACACTGGACTGGTGAGGAAAAAAAGTAAAATAGAAGAACAGGTTTATGTTTAAGTGCTTGCACTAAGCTGAGAGCTGTCAGCCTGGGTGTCCCTGTGACTTTGTCCTGATGACAGAAAATAGCGTTGCATTTTCTGGGCAGTGGCTGCTGTCACCCCCAGCTCTCCGTGTCCGTGTGCTTCTCCCCTCCCTGTCACTGCTTGAATTTTATGAACAACTTAGTACCCTACTGTTGCTTCTACTCCACAAAACCAGGCTGATTTGTCTTATATCCCTCTAAGATCACTGGCAGCTGAAGGGTTCTTTTTCTGCTGGTTTCATTGCAGCAGGATTAAGGCTAAAGGTGATGTGCTATAAATTTTTAAAATGCCGTTGTGGAAGTACTTTTCAGTCACAGCTAGCTGTCAAATGTTTAAACTCTTTCCAAAAAATCTTTCCCCCTCTCTCAGCTTTCCTCCTCTTCTTAATCTTTGCTTTATCTCATTAGCAGCTGGCGTGACATAGTTTGAGTCAAAGATGATGAGCAGGGTTACTCATAGGGTCATAAACTCCAAAACAGGGAGGTCAAAAGGCTTGTGTGAATGCAAGTTGAAAGTCTTTGCCCTCTCCAACATGCCTGGGAATTCTGCATATCCATACCTCGCATTCACCAGAGGAAACGTCATCGTTTTGTTAGCTGCTGCGTTCTGTAGTCTGTAGCCCAAAGCTTGCCCAAGTGATGTTTTCTCTTTGGAATGAGATCAGGGGTCGAAGGACCTGGAATTTTTCACTGAGCAGCAATGCCGTGGTCAGGTCTCTCCACCAGTCCCGCTGGCTTCAGTCGTTGCACTGATGGAGCTAAACCAGTACAAATTTCCTGCTGCGATTTCCAATGCAAGATACTTCAGTTTGCCCTTAAGCTGCTTTTAAAACCAGGCTTTACTCAAAATAGGCCTGGTTTAAAATGATGCACAGAGCTTATGTATTCAATTGCACCTTCCAGTGTTGCTTTCCCGCACTAGTTAGTAACAACCGTAATGATTCCCGAATGGATCTGGCCATTTGCAAACTGATGTGTTTACAGCCAGCAGATTAACAGGAGCAAGCGCTGACTTCGATGTACGCAGACGTCGGGGTGTAAGCTGCGGTGGGGCAGGAGCAGCCGTTTTGTTCTGCTTTCCTGTTGCAAGCATTCAGGGGAAATTTCTGCTTTGTGCAGCCTGGTTAAGCCCTTGCCAAACGTGTGCCATCGCGCTTAGATTTCCCCTTGCCTGTAACAGGGAGCTCTGCGTGTTCCTGCTGCCAGGAACAGATAGACCACCTTAAATTCATCATTTGGAAAGCGTCTTATTAAAGACCCTGTAGTGCTAAGTTCTCTGGGGCTGCCAAGCGCTGCTATGATTTAACATGGAAAGCCTCCGACTTCATCTTGATGGGGCTCCAGCTCAGAGGGGCTGTGCAAATTGACATTTGCTCGAATCTGGCCTTGCTTTCTAAAATCCGACAGGCAGAGAGTTCACACTCTTTAAAAGCAACATGATAGCCCTTGAGCAGAGTTTATTTTTATTGGACAACATACATATCTTCGTTTCCTAGTTTGGAAATGCTGCAGATAAGTAGCATAGGATGAAATTTTCCATCACCGTAAGCTACTTGGCGCATATATATATATATATATATATGCTCAGACAGATCTTTTCCCATCATGGCTCATATTTTGAGGGTTATGTCATATCTTGCTGGCCCTGAGCCTTTCCGTTCCCTGCCCTGTTGGGAAGGGGCAGTGCCTGACCCTTGCTTCTGTAAGACAAGTTGCCGCTCACAGCCCTAAGTGAAATGTTTCAGTCTAGGGTGAGTGATGGAAGATCTGTGATAAGGAGATGGGAGACAGGCAGGGAGATGTTAACTCTTCTAACAGGACCGAGGTTGGGGCAGGTCTGAAATCCATAGGTCTGTTGCTAAAGGACAGAGAAACTCCCGTCATTTTTGCTTGCTATTTTCCACAGCCACTGCAGCTTTTAGCTTTGGGACTTGTTCAAAGGATTGTTTTTTGGAGGGTGATGAATGTGCATAGCAGGACAGCCCTTTCATGGGCTGCTGGCTGGGCAGAATTAGCCCGATACCCCTTTAGCTCTGTGGCTGCGTAAAGAAGGTTGCTCACCTTTTCAAAGCTAGGAGAGCAGTGTTTATTCAATCCTGACGTGAGCGTGATGATATTGAATGCCTTTTACACAGGGGCTTTTCTCCATCCGCTTTAAAGTGTGCAGACCAAATACGCAGACAGTGTCTCGGGAATGGCGAGAGCAGGGCTTGTGGTTTGGCTTTGTTATTACCTGTTTGCCTTTGGGAGCATGAGGAGGGGAAAGGCAGGTACCACTGGTATCGCGTCCTCTCTCCCCTCCTGCAGACTCCAGCTCTGTGAGAGTAAGCCGCACACCCTGAAAGGGTTAAAAAAAAAAAAAAAGCAGTAGCTGTGCTTGGAAGCACTGCAAGCGTGTGGCTGAGCATGGCTTAACCCAGTAATTGTATGTGAACATAAAGGCTGCCCGCAGCCTGTGTGGATGGCTGGGAAGGAGTAAGTTGATGCTGAACCTGCTTGCTGTGATCCTCCACCGAGGCGTCTGCGCTTGCAGTACGATGAGGCCAAAGTTGTTGTTAGAGTAACACCATTGTTTAACTCAGAGTTTGATTTTGCTTGCATTCCTTCTTTTTTTAGCCACAGCCTGGAGTAAAAGCTCTGTTTTGCAAACTGTAATTCACATTAGCGGCTCGATGTACAACTTGGGTCTAACCATGATGGCAGAGCACATTACCCACTTTATTCATAATGGTAATTCTTGTAGGCATTGCAATGTGGCAGGCACATTGTGAGTGGCGTCTTGGGAGCTCAAAGGAAAAGAAAAGTTTAATCATGTTGGTTTTAAGTGCTCAAAGCATATCCGAGAACAGAGACACTGCTTGCTGACTGTCTGGTGGAGTTTGGGAGGGACAAGACAATAAGTGCTATAAATATAT